ACAAAACCAAAACTAGGATCCAAAAGAGCTCAGTGGGGCTGCAGAGTCACATACATTGTGGGTTCATCACTAAAAAACATACCAATACACAGAGCTTTGACAATAAACACATTCCCTCTACCCTCCTGCCTAATGTCTTCCAAATCATTAGCTTTTAGACCTTACAGGCAGCCATTGTTTTCAGTTTATTAGTACACTGAAACTAAAACTGAGAATAAAATCTTGCTTTCTATCCATCATAATGCCATGACTATTTAATTTTGTTATGTTCAAATCTCTCCTTTGTGGTGCATTCAATGTCCTCAACAGCTGCTAAACAACAACCCTTTTTACAGTGGTAATGGCTCCAGTATGCTGAGGTCCTTATGTGTTCACCACCATATAATCTAAAATAAAAGTTTGAATGGACAAAAAGAATGACTTATGACTAACTGGATAAGTTTACTCTGTGTTGGAGTTTCAACAGCAGATAGGTGGCGCCATCTGGTGGCTGCATCTGATCTGTGCTTTACCTACACATCAAAATGTCTGCTGTGAAAAAGGTCTATTGCAATTATTGTAGTCCAAATTCACCATCATCATTTCAGTTATTATAAGAGTTAATTTCTTTCTTAAATCCATCAGCTTTTATTGGGTTTCCTTCATTCAATCAATAGTAATTACAGAGGAGGAAGTGCAGATAATCAGATTGAGAATAAAATGTTTTCAGAGTTTTCCATATCAGTCTTTATGAAGCTTTATGAATTTTGATCAGGCAGTGTTTTGCAATTAAACTAGATCAGAGTGGTGATGATTCAGGACAGCTGTGATACAAAGATGATCAGCTCAACTTAAATGACACATGTTTTCACAAAATAAGTTGTGGGAACTTTACTGGGCTGCAAAATTCAAGTCAAACTAAAGGTGATAAACAAGTTAAACATATATGGATGTAGATAAACAAAGTCAAGGTCAGTGTTTGATGTGCAAATGTGAGGCCATTATTTTAGTGAGCCACAGATATAAAATCCTTTTTAAGTTTGGTGCATGAAAAAGAAATGCCCTTGCTTGCTTTCTCCAAAGCAGACTCTGCCCTTGACTTCAGTAACTGTTGTTTTTGTGAACAACACAAAACACAGCACAACCGCGGCTGGATAATAAACATTTTCCTGGTAAATATTTTAATTATTTTTTTTAAAAAACATCTCCCTCTCACCTGCAGGTCTCATCTAGCTTCGTCAGTGCTCGCTCCACAACGCTGCTGTAAGAAAACCGTTCTTCTCTGAATTAACCATTCAACCTTTATTTAAAGCTCAAATATCAATGATGTTGACAGTACAGGTAAAGCAGAATAGATATACCAAAAACCCCAACAGGGAACATAATTCAAAACAGTTAACTTTTATTAGCAGTAGTAGTTTGTAATCATGGGTTTAAATTGACTCTAGGCAGAGGTGGGACCAAATTACAACTAAATCTCAAGTCTTTACACTCAAATCCCAAGTCAAGACTGACATGACCCAAGTCAAGTCCCAGGTCCTAAACTTTATGTTTTGAATCCTAAACAAATCATAATGCACTCTTCAACAAATGCAATGCCATTTTAGCAACAGAATGGATAAAAAGAAATATTTTTTTCCAGCTGGCGCTCAGTAACGCAACGTTAGTTCTTCGTGATTCTCTCCTGCAACTTGGATGCTGTTAGATAGGTTCAAACAAAGTGGATCTGGGGAATTAAGTGTTGACTTGCTGTATTGTTTTAGGAAATGAACCGAAAAGAAGTGATTTGTGGCACACTTTTTTAATAACAAACTTGTTAATCTTTGGACTAGGGGTAAAGGTATCAAGTATTTTGAAGTCAAAAGGCTCAAGTCCAAGTAAAGTCACGAGTCACTGTTAAAGTCCAAGTTGAGTGTCAAGTCTTTTTATGATTTTAAGTCAAAATTTTCATCTTGAGTCTACACCTCTGCCTACAGCTGTGGTTCCCAACCTTTTTTCTTTAAGGGACCCCTTTTCTATTAGTTAGTACACTGACAACCCCTTTTTATTTTTATCACTCATATATACTTAGTAGCTTTTTTTTTTTTTTTTTTGACCAATTCAGTGTCTTATTGTTCTATTAGCTCTTTGGTTGGTTTAACCATTGTTTAACCCTAATGCAGGATGAGGCTGTTTCTCAGAGAGTGAAGGCTCTGTAAAAATAGCTTGTGTTCAGGGCTTTAGAGTTGATATCTAAATCTTAAAAATAACAATTTCATTTAGTTTTATTTGCAGAAATGAACACAATGTTGAGATATACTACTGTGTATATTTTTAAACCTCACAACCCCCCCCCCCACACACACACACACACTGGCCTACAGATACAGGTTACAAGTGTGAGCCACACAAAAACTTAAAGCAGTTTTCCCAGATTTAGTGTTTAGAGTCTTAGCCAATCACTTGAACAAGTCAAAAAATGACTACGGGATATATGATGGCAAGTTGCCATTAAGTGTTGTTTCCCCTGTGTCTCCCTCTCCTCCATTAATGTAAATCCAAACAGCATATCTCAATAAAAGAAGTAAGCTAACATAACTTAATCCTCCAAAAAATGTATTCCCATGAATTTAACCAAAATCAAAATGTATTGTTGAAGTAGTAATTCAGTTGTTTAACTCAGTATTGGTGATATAACTCCAGTTTATTCCATTGACTAATTTTCTTTAAGTTGACTTTATATCATTAAAGAAATGTAAGCCCCAAAGCCCCCAAATTAATTGGACAATTAACATACCTTTGATTCAAAACCACCCAAGCTTTTGAGTCCCTCTTTTTTGACAGTTACAAATGTCAAACCAACCTTTTCATTCAAGATGCAAGTATGAATAGAATGACTGTCACCAGGAATAATTGATTTGTCCTTCAATGTGTTAAATCTTTGTGTGGCAAAAAACCTTCACTATTGCATTCTTGATACCTTAACCTGAACTGCACCAGTTACGTTTAAAATCGTTAAAATATTTTTCTTCTTTCAAACTCTTCTGGAGCTGCAGATTATATTTGAATTCACATACAAAAGAGAAAGACCCACAAGAAAACAGCTGAGGTATTAATGTTCTCTCCCTTAAATGAAATAACTCTAAACCCTCCTGAACTCTTTAGTGGCGGATCTAGAAAGGTGGCATGGAAACCCCAGTTTGTTGTCAAATGTTGTTTTAACACAATGATTTAAAATAAGTTTAAGAATATGTTAAAAAATTTGATAATTTAAGTTTTTGTCCAGGCAAAATCCAGGATTAAAATCAGCATATGTTTTTCGACACCCCTTAAAGCCTCCATGCCACCCCATGAATATTTCTCTAGATTAGCCCCTGCCGCTCTTCCCAAAGAGAATTTAATCTGACAGAAGATCAGCAGTTTAGAATAAAACAGCTCTGACCAGCAGAGGGCCTCCTCACAACCTACAGAATGATCTGGCATTTGGTTAATGAGAACATTGCATTTAATGTTCTTTAATGGTTCCATACCATTAAGCAGCACATGCATTCAAAAAGATGTGGGAGAGAAACTGATCTCAGATTGGTCAAATGTTTTTGTATTTAGAAGAGCTGCCCATTCTTAGTCATTTATTGAATACTTTAATTAATTATTGGTGTATGGTCTTTTAAATGAGAATGTGCTAGTTGTTACTGAGATACGTCTTTGTCATTACAATAATATTGTTAAATATACTTCAGCCATTAAGCTCTAGAATATGAGTGATGCTTCTGCACGACTGTATTCATCTGGGATGGACATGATGATGTGGACATTGTTCAGAGGGTTTTTTTCTCTTTAACGACAGGTTGTGAATGTGTTTCACTGAACTGTCTGTAGTGTGTGTGTCCAGAACTGTGGTTTTGTTGAGTGTATGTGAAAATAATAAATGCATTATTTATGTCTTTATGCTTTTTGCTCAAGGACAGTTTTATATGTGGACATGTGTATAATATATGAAACTTGTAGACAGGCTCAGAGCCATACATGTCCTATTTTTTTGCTTATTGTCTGAAAGAAAAGAAAAAAAGCACAAGCACCAACACTATCATCTTATTGTTATTATTCTATTCTATTTGTTATATGAAATAAAATCAGATCACACAAGCACACAGGACTGAATATATTAATGAAGATTTAGGAGGAAGTAAAAAATGTTTGTATTGCAGCCAGCTGTTTATGAAAATAAATTCTGTTCTGTCTGGCTGTTTATTTCTGCATTTTAAAGATGAAATGCTGTGTGATACTCCCTGCTTCTGTCCGTGTTAATTCAGATCCAACAATACTGCCATTATGGTCATCAGTCTGGTTATCACCTGTTAAAGTGTAGGCATGCTGTGTGGTTACTTACTGTTCCTTGCAAATAACATTTTGGATCCCTGTTTTTACGACCATAAGTCAAAATCTCCTTTAAACGAATCACGGAAACGCAGGAGAGCCAATGTGTGCCAATAACGCACAGAATCAGTTGCCAGACCTTTTTCCCTCCTCTGACAGAAACTATGATTCAGCATAATCACACTGATAAATTCTGACGTGGACTTTTCGTTTGAACTTTTGATTAAGAGCTCTACACTGGATTGGATGACAGTAATCTATTACCCGCGCTGAGGAGGTAACGCAGCGGCGTCCACCTGACTGTGAGTCTGAGCGCGTCACACCAAGAGAGGTCCACTATGAGTCACACTGGGACTAAAGACCAGGACAGAGACCTTTTTCCCCCCCCGTAGAGGGACTGAATTTAGGCAGGATTTATTATTATCTCTGCTTTTAATTTATTATTATTTGTTTTATTTATATTTATTTTATTTTGATCTTTAATACTCTTTTAATTTCTGAGCCGGAGCTGGATCTCATTTCAAAAAGACGCATCAGATACAGGAATTCTATTGAAGACAGTCGCCTTTTCTTTACTATTTCTATTGTTCGCAGAGCTCAGAGGATGGTTCCAGCGCCAGGAGGAAAGAAGAGGAGTAGTTTTACATGTGGATATTAATTACCTCTTCTAATCTCTCTTTCTGTTGGGGAAACATGGACAACTACACGACGTGGAGTAATTTAACCCAAGTTCTGTCAGAGCTGGACGGGACGAGCGGTGAGGAGGAGGAAGAGGACGAGGAGGAGGAGGAGGGCAGCGGTGGAGGGAGCGGCGGACTGCGCGTCCTCGTCGGCTGCGTCCTCTTCCTGCTCATCGTGTCCACGCTGCTCGGGAACACGCTGGTGTGCGCTGCCGTGGTCAGGTTCCGCCACCTGCGCTCCAAAGTCACCAACTTCTTCGTCATCTCGCTGGCCGTGTCCGACCTGTTCGTGGCCGTGCTGGTGATGCCCTGGGAGGCCATCACCGAGGTGACCGGCACGTGGCTGTTCGGACGGTTTTGCGGGGTCTGGATTGCCTTTGACATCATGTGCTCCACGGCCTCCATCTTGAACCTGTGCATAATCAGCGTGGACCGGTACTGGGCCATTGCCAGCCCATTCAAGTATGAGCGGAAGATGACTCACCGGGTTGCGTTTATCATGATCGGGGTGGCGTGGACGCTGTCAATCCTGATCTCCTTCATCCCAGTTCAGCTCAACTGGCACCAGGCCGGGGAGGAGGCAGAAGAAGAGGTGAAGGAGGAGGTGTTGGAGATGATGGCCTCCATCAGCAGGAACTTCACGAACAGCAGCAACTTCAACGCCAGCGCTGTCGCCAAGAGCTGCGTTGCCAACCTGAACAAAACCTACGCCATCTCCTCCTCCTTCATCAGCTTCTACATTCCGGTGGTGATCATGATCGCCACCTACACCCGGATCTACAGGATTGCTCAGACCCAGATCCGTAGGATCACGTCCTTGGAGAGGGCGGCAGAGCAGGCTCAGCACCAAGGCCATGGTGTGAACCGAAACCAGCATCAGCAGCACAGACCCAACGATGAAGCCTCATTGAAGTCGTCGTTTAAGAAGGAAACCAAAGTCCTAAAGACGCTCTCCATTATCATGGGGGTGTTTGTCTTCTGCTGGCTGCCTTTCTTCGTCCTCAACTGCACGGTCCCGTTCTGCGACCCACCCTGTGTCAGCGACACCACCTTCACCGTCTTCGTCTGGTTCGGCTGGGCCAACTCCTCCCTCAACCCCGTCATCTACGCATTCAACGCAGACTTCCGTCGGGCCTTTGCCACCATTCTGGGCTGCAACCAAATCTGCTCAAACAACGCGGTGGAAGCGGTGAACTTCAGCGACGAGCTTGTTTCTTACCACCACGACACGACGCTCCACAAGGAGGCGCTAGTCCCGGCGCAGCCGCAGCAGCATCCCCGCACGATTAACGTCGGTTCCGACCACCTGGAGGACATGAGTGCTCAGTTTGATGAGGAGTCGATGATCTCCAATGGTTCCCGGAGCGACAACAGACTGCTGCTGCTTCCTGCCACCGTCCAGCTCGAGGATGACCCGGAAATCTCCTTGGAAACGATCACGCCGTTCACCTCAGCGGCGGGGCCGGAGAGTGAAGCTCTAATACCAGGACAAGTCCTCCAGGATGGATAGGACAGAAACTGTACTGAACTGACCGACAAAATCAAACAGGAAGTTAGGCTGGGTGGCCTTCAAAATAAAAACATAAACTTAAATTCAGCTGTAATCCTCCACAATGTTTCGATTTATTTGAAATGATGGAGGACTTAAAGACTTTATAACCAACCTTTCAAAATCTGGAGAACCCCATGAGAGAGATGGTATAGCCGTAAGCTTCAGATAAAATGGCAGAATTTATTGATGTGGCTGCTGGATTGTTCTGTTTAATTTTTGTGTTTACACGTATGAAAGCAGATTTAGTTTTAGACATACTTGATACAGTAAAGTTGGCAGGGCTGGATCTAGAGGGGTGGTATTGCCACCCCATATTGTATGTATCGGCTATATTAGAGTTGTCAAATTAATTTGGATGAATTATAAAAATACCATTTTAAAAATGAAAATTATTACATATGGTTGAATTATCTGTAATCGCCATACTTTTATCTAAGTTATAGGCTTATGTTCAATAAAAAAAAAAAACGTATTTGGAATGATTTGTGGATTTCTAATGACCTTTAGATATTTCTATTCAATGCTTTATAAATGTGCCCCAATAATGTGATTTACATTATAATTATTAATGTAAAGATATATTAATTTAAGGACTTTTCCAAGGATGTGATTATTTTTGTATTATATATCTTTTCTGCCACCCATTAAAGTCTCCATATTCTCTAGATCCATCCCTGAAGGTTGGAGATAAAAACAGCTTTGTCAGACATTAAACCCAATTTATTACACTGAACCATTGGATGTTTCAATTATTCAGTATCTGCAATGTATGTAAATATAAAATATGAATCATAAAAGAAAAATAAATATAGGTGAAGTGTTGTGAGTAAGTTTGATGTTTGACACAAGCGGAAGAGAATATGTTGAGGATTTAGGGAGGAACAAAATCTGTGCTGGTAGAACATTTAATGGGACAGAGCTGCCAAATATGCAAACCAACCCTTTGCTTCTGTGAAGGAAACTTTAATGTTGAAGCACCTTCAAATGACAATGCCAGAATTTTGACTTCTTTTATCCTCTTTACTCCAAATTGCCTACATTTCAAATTACAGACAACTATTTATCAGCACCATGCAATATTTTAGTGATGTCCTCTGCTTTCTAGAGGGAAGGTCAAGGAATCCATAATTCCAGTACATATGAAAATTAAATCTGCAGAAACTCAGGATGACCAGGTAATATCCATATTTAGTGTTTAACATTGATGTCCTGATTTGCAGAAATTGTCCCAGGTGGTGCATTCTCATCTAGTATATGAGAATTGAGATATGATTGTGCTGCACCAAAATTTTGGACTAAATTCAAATTATTCTCTGAACGTGTTTTTCTTCTGAATTCAGTTTTATTTCAACAGTGCAATCAGTTTGGTTGCCGATACTCGGGTGTTGCAGTACACTTGAATGTAAACTTACCCAACAATTAAGGGTGACTGAATGTTAAAGCTGCAGTAGGTATGTATAAAAATAACCTTATATCATATTTGCTTAAGCTTTCACTATATCCTGACAGTAGAAAAGTGAGAAATAATCTGTGAAAGAAATCAGGTTCCTCTGGCTCCTCCTAGTGCTCCTAATAGAATTTGTACGAATCCATCGGGCCTGATAGTCTTATTCCCATTAGGAGCACTAGGAGGAGCTAGAGGAACATGATTTTTTCACAAATTATGTGTCTTGTGTACTACTGTCAGGATATAGTGAAAGTTTCAGCAATTACCACAAAAATATTTTAATTAAAATTGCCTACTGCAGCTTTAACTGACAATTTACCTATTTTGTACAAATATCAAACCTAATGTTCATAGTTTATGAATTGAAAAGGTACAGTATGTAGGATTTAGTGGCATCTAGCGGTTTAAACTCGGTCACTTCACCCTCCCCTTTCAAGCGTGAAGGAGAAACTACAGAGGCCGCAAAATGCATCAGTGTTTGATTTGTCCCCTCTGGGCTACTGTTGAAACATGGCTGTCTAACATAGTGGCTTCAACGTAAGGCCACCCATGGTGTCTGTAGTTAGAACGGCTCATTCTGAGGTAATGAAAACAACAATTCTTATTTTCAGTTGATGATACACTAATAAAAACAGTTATGCATATTCTATTTAATTTCTGCGTATAGATCCTCCTAAATGTTGCACACTGGACCTTTAAGTGAAATCAGCATTAGGAAGGAAATCTGACAAAAAATTGTGGTATTTTTGGAAAATGGGCACTGTCTTTTGACAAATACTGCAATTGTGATATGATTCACAAGATTTGTAGGCCCAGTAATCTCTGCAGCACTACAGTACTTAGTTATAATGCTGTTTTGACACATTTGACCTTTATCAAAAAATTATAGCTTATTGTGATTTACATATTGCACTTGGCCATATTGCGAATTCAATAATATTGATTAATTTTGCAGTCCTAGTTAAGAATTAAAAGTAAGTTAGTGCAAAGCTTCTGTATTAAAGTATAAAATATAAAAGAACTGTTGAGGCTGTTAATAAAGACCAGGTCCACAACAAAAGAGGTTGCCACCACCCACCCTCATTGTATTTTGGTTTTGTCTTTAGAAAGTTAAAGTCATTAATAAGGAATTAGTGTGAAAGCAGAGTTTTAATATTAATGCAGAGAGCAATCATAGCTGATAAGCTGGTTAATACGTGCTTCATTACAGCCCTCTGAGGAAAAGTAGGCCAAGAATCAGTCAAATAATCAGCCAGGTTTGAAAAACACAGAAAACCATTTGAGGGGAGATTTAAGCTGTTTGCATTTGAAACAAAGCAGAAAGTGTTTTATTACAGTTATTTAAGTGACAATCACAGCCTTTAATGGCATTTAATATAGAACAAAAAACAGGAAAACACTACTACTACTACTATGAAAAACACCCAAGCTAACTGATTTGTTAAATTGAACATAAGGAGGTCACAGGTCAGAGCTTTGAATGCAGTTGCTGGTGTATTATATGCAGGGGAAAGAAATTCAGGCGAATCAGAGCCATGAAAAACATGTCCACAGTTATTAGAAGCTTTTCTCAAAAGAAGGAGCTTTGTGTTAGTACAGAGCTCATGATGGCTAGAGGGGAGCTCAGAAAGTCTGGTCAGGTAATCTCTGAGTCACCGATGAACAACCTGCCTCTCCCTGAAGGTACATTATGCTAATTTTCTGCAGTTATTCTCACAAGCGTGACATCTCTTGTCAGCCACTGCAGAAATTATGGGACCAAAAGTGACCACGCCACAAAAAAGACTATTTCTGCTTTTTTAAATTAAATTTTTTCTTCATATGCTAAGGCAGATTCTGATCCGTTTGATGGGGCAAAGAAAAACTGGGAGTTGAGGAGAGGAAGATTGCTCAAGTTTTCTACTTGTAATTTTTTTTAGTTATTTTTGTTTAAATGACATTACTTTTGCTTAGTGGCTGATAGGGGCGAAAAAGATAAAATGGCATCAGCACGCAGGAAGTTGTGATGCATTATGGTGCGGCATAGTAAGGGTTAGTTTTGGCACTCTATAGGGCCTCTTTACCACACATGTATTTATAGCAAATTATTCGATACAAACCTCAAAAAATGGTTTACATGGAGTTTAAGTGGACAATTAAGTTTTTTAAATTAAAATAACTTGAAATAAGTGGTTTGCTCAATAATACAGAAAATGGTTTGCACGGGGTTAAAAAATATTGGTTAAACTGAATAAATGATTTACATTGAGTCAATGTTAAATAGTTTGTGTAATCGATCACTTTTTTATGTTTAACCAATGCTTTTGCTTTACTTTTTTAGTGTAGGGGCATCCAAGAAGGCATTTTTGCGGCAGTATTTTTCAAACATGGGGGGATCCCATCTGCCCACCCTTGAGTCCACCAGTGCTTTTGTGTAGGGTCCAGCTGGTTAGCTATAATATATGTCTATGTGTTGACTGTTGACTGCAGCACTACCCCCTAAGAGGTCTTGTAGGGAGTTTTGACATCTTCTCAAAAGTAGTGATATTACAATGTAGGATAACATGCTGTATGTTTTTCTTTTGTGCAAATTACTTTTTTTATACACAACAAATATATATTCTCTCAGCCATAAAACATAAAATACTTCCTTACTTGGTGTAAAACAATGATTCATGATCACTTCAGTACTTCTCTACATCAGGTTAATAGAAAAATAAATTGAAGGTAAACATTTTTTTTTTTACACATACTGCAGTGCAGGAAGGAAAGATATATATATATATAAATATATATGCTGCTTTTAAACTGGAACCACCAGTACATTTATATTTATTCTGTCCCCTGCATGTGTCGCTCTACATGAAGTGACAGATCGCGAAACAGATTTATTAGGTACTAAAAAGGTGAAATGATAAGTCAGATGTGTAAGTAAAGTTGAGGGCTGTTTACTCGTTTGTCTTTATCAGCTTGCTTACAGGGTTTTTCCCAACAACTCTTTGAAACTGAGAGCAAATACACAAGAAATGTTGTTAATGTAACTAAAAACCTGTGTAGAAATGTACATGTTGAAATTAAGCAGATGGCTGCACTACACATAAAAGTAATTATCTCACCAAATATGAAATAAAATACCACAATATGCATAAATACTTATCCATAAAGATAAAACATGTAATATAACTCACAATCAAAGCTTGTCCAAGGTTGTGAAGCATAAATGCTTTGTTGTACTAATCTCAAAGCAAAATGGCTGGTACTACAACCCTACCGACATGGTGAGAAATAACCAATAGAGAACAACATTAAGGTGACAGCATTATTTAAAGCAACCACTAGGAGGTGCTTAACCTACATGTAACGTCACAATATTCTCTGTATCTGGTACTCTTTGTAATAGTTCAACCACAAAATTGGCGTCCAAGTCTTACATAATTATCAAGAAACCTTTAAGGAGACCAATGGCCAGGTCACAAGAACCTCTCAGAAATGCTTGATAATTAAATAAAAACTACATTCTAGGTTTTCTTTTTGTTGTGCTTGCTCAGCTCGGTTCAGTTTTTTCTTACTCAGTATGTCTCTGGCTGGCTCCTTTTATCTTCAGTCAGTAGTGGAGTTGAAACAGAGACGAAGCACCCAGGGGCCACAGAGGAGATGACACCCTGAACCCCACAGGTGTCTTTTATGGGTTCAGCTGCTCAGACTCAGAGTGCATCATCACAGTGTTTCTGTATTGTATATTTGACTGAGAGAGGTGTACGCTCAGAAAGAGAGGAGCGATATATTAAACCTTTGCTGGTGACTTTGCATTAGTAGATTACTGAAACATAAAGACTGTGTAGGTCGGGGTGTTGGATGGATGGATGGATGGATGGATGGATTTTTTAAAGGCTTTTTTTCTTTTAAATTTTGACCCTAAGCTTTCCCCAGACAAGAAGAGATGCCAAACCATAACCTTTACTTAAATAATCCGATAATAATAGGAAATATTCCGTCAATAGGGAGAGATCACAGAAGACGGAAGACA